GTAGTGATTAGTCCACCCAGAGGGCCAACGCTTCCACGTCGAGTGCCCCTCATCCCGTGTCGTGTGGTCTTCCAGGGACTTACGTCCCCCTTCATTTCTCAGCTGGTGTCAGCGGCTCATGACCTGTCTCACCCATGCCCGGCAGCTGCTGGAGGCGGCAGCACCCCTCCCATCGCTGGCTGCTTGGGGTTCGTGCTGGAGCGAAGACTGTCTGGAGCAGGGCAGGTGGGGTCTTTGGGAACAGGAGCCCACTTTGATGGGGCTGCTAGCCACAGGGCGCCGTGCCCACCCGCGTCCTACCCTTGCCAATGCAGTGCATGCTGGGCAGGCCTCAGTGGGCTGCTCTCCCATCTCTCTCCCATCTCTCATTGGGGCTTTGAGGCAGAGAGACCCTTAGCACAGAGCCTGGCACCCAGTGGGTGCTCAGTAAGTGTCCCCATGACCATGGTTCTGCCCAGAGCACTGCAGAGGCACAAGCTCGCGGGGTCCCAGCCCTCCCTGCAAACCTGGGTCTTGGAGACCAGGTCCCCAACAGGAGCCTTCAGACACGGCTGCTGGTCAGGGCCTTGGCCCTGGCTCCTTGGTCCACACAAGACACCAACTCCTTCTATTCAGGACTGGCACGAGCTGCTGAAATGCACGGCTTACACAATAGATGTTAATTACGAATCGCTCTGCGGTGCGTCTGTGCCGCCCGTGATCGGAATACTAAACTGCTGCTTTCCCGACCCCAGGGAGCTCTGGGCACCCTCATATTTCTGGCGCTGTTTAAGTGTTTCATTACATGGTTTCAGGGCTGACAAATGTCCCCTAATTTCCGAGCGTGGATCTTGCTGGTGCCCTCTCTGTGGAGCCCGCCCTCCACCTGGCCGGCGGCAGCCTGGGAGTGAGAAGGCGGGCCTCAGCCCAGTGACTTGCAGACCGATGCTAATTAGAAAACCACTCCGTGCTCTGGGCAGAGACAGGGACAGGACTGCCACCCGCACACCCCCCATGTCCTGTTCTTGCTAAGCCCAGGGACTCTAGAAAACATGTGCATCCTGCCCTGGGGCAGGTGGCCAGGTTGGGTGGGAGTGGGCTCAGGTCCCGAGGGTCTTCCTTCTGCCCCCTCCGGGGTCAGCGTTTAAACAAAGCCACACTCATTGCAGTGCTCCATCAATGTCCCCGTGAGGACAGCGGCTCTCCTGACCCACAGCGATGACTGACACAGAGAATCAGGCCCCCACCCAACCCGAGAGGGCCCCAACTAGACCTGCCTGGATTCTTACATGTGACACCACCGACCAGGCAGCATGTCAGCACCGAGCTCGGCCCTGGAGGCCAACTGCTCGGGCACAGGACAGGCAGGGTCCTCAGCCTGCTGGCCTCACGCTCGTCCAGACCCAGAGCTGGCTGGCAGGGAGAAGGCGGCACTGGGGCGCTCTGCGCTCAGGTCATTAGACTGATGGGAGGAGCCCTGGGTGCAAGGCTCAGGACTAAAGGTTGGTGGTTCAAAGCCACCCAGTCCCTTTGCTGGAGGACGGATGGCAGAGAACAGATGGTGACATGGATAGCCCTGCGGGCAGCTCTGCTGTCATGTGGGGCTGGGACAAGTAGAGCGTGACATGTGCCCTTTAAGCAGTGCACCTGCAGGAGACGAAGCCCAGCGAGACTCCGGTCTGTCTGTACTAGGACTCGTTGCTCAAGGCAGGGCTGGGGACACTGTCAGAGTCATTTCACACAAAGCAGTGTGAAGACACAGGGGTTCTGAGTGTGACAGACAGGGCTCCTGAGCGTGAAAGGCACGGGCGCTCCGAATGTGAGACACTTCTATGTAACATGCAGGCTGCAGCAGTCTGCCGTGTGACTGGACTAATTTACACATCTGGCCAGGATCGGTCAGCCTGTGGCCCAGCAGGGAGGACCGTGCTTTGAGAGTAAGCACATGAAGTTGAGGGGCACCTCAATGCCATCAAGACGACCCTGGAGCAGAGCATGACTTCTGGACGGGGACCCTGTACTGAGAACCTCCTAGACAAGTGGTTCTCAACCTGTGGGTCGCAACTCCTTTGGGGGTTGAACGACCTTCTCACAGGAGGTGCCCGATTCACCACAGTAGCACATTTACAGTGATGAAATAGCAATGAAAACGATGTTATGGTTGGGGTGACCACCCCATGAGCTGTCGGAGAGGGTGGCGGCGTGGGGAAGGTGGAGAACCGCTGCTCCGGACCCAGAAGAGCAAGAGCTGGGCACTGCAGACGGCGGGAATGGTGGTCAGGTCAGCAGTGCCCAGCCATGGCCAGCAGGGACGAACGTCAGCAGCATGAGGGGTGGGAGCAGGAGAGAGATAACGCGGTGGGAGAGTCAAGCACCTTTAGGCTGAGAGCCTTGGCACCCTGGGAGCAGGGTGACTTCCTGCTGAGCCGGGAAGAGAGGAAGGCAGAGCGGGCCTGGGTGGAGCTGCCTGATGGACGAGTGGTCTCGTCCTTTGAGCTACATGTACCTGTTACTGTCACACTGCGCCTGTGCCCGTGTGGGAGTTACAAAATGTCGACTTCATCGACAGAGTGAAGGGGTGGAGTCTAGCCTGTCGCTCATGCTTCCTTGTGGGTGTGGCCTCCTCACGAGGATTCTGGGAACTTCCTCTTTCTCCTCAGCTGGAGGGGTATCAGGCCAGCGCCGAGATGCTTCCACCACCCGGGCCGGGCCCCGGGCCTGTGATCTTCCTGCATGCTCAGTCACTGCACTTGCTGCGTGAGTCTGAGGAGGAATTCACGGACTGGTGCCAGACACATGGCTGGGAAGTTTCTCAGTATACAATTACTCTTTATCTAAAGCTCTTTCCTTTGCATATAGGAGTGCCTCTGAATTGGTTTCTCTAGTCACCCTGGACTAACACACCGAGTGTCCTCCAGTTGACACCAGACAGGAGGCAGCCCTTTAGCCAGACTGCTTCCAGTGAGCAGCCCGAACTCAAAGTCCTCCCTGTCCCCTCAAGGCACAACACCCCACTTCTTCAATCACTCAGTTGCTTCCAAGCCACAGCCAATCTGAACAGCGATGCTACAGCAGTGTGACTTCCAAAATCATTTGGGTAAAACTTGTAAGAGTGCAGTGGCAGGGTCATGGGCAGACAGGGACTATCAGAAGATCGAGCCAATCTGTCTTGGACGAAACGAAATCTATGGACAATAGGTAAGGGCCCAAGTTCCATCGGCCAGGCAGAAACAGCCTCCTTAGTAAATAGGAAATGGGAAAGGAAACAGGACCGTAGCTCACACCGTACACAAGCACTCAGCCCAGAGGGTCGAAGACCTACATGCTGAACCTACAGCAAGGAGGTTCCAGGGAGCGCCCTCCCCTGTGACCCAGCAATCCCACAGCCAACAAGCAGGACAGGAGCACCATGGAGCAGAGAGGACCAGAACCAAACCCAACCTGCTGCCATCACGTCAGTGCCAACTCCCAGAGACCTGTCAGTCAGGGTAGCCCTGCTCCTGGGGGCTTCCTGTGATGACAGAGAGGGCACGGAAAGGAAATGCACCCGGGGCTGGACCTCCACACCTGGTCAGCAGCACCCTTGCTGTCACGGGGTCACTTTTCACACGGTGACACCCCGTGTGTGGAGAATCAGCAAAGGTGTGTGTGGCCCGCGGCAGCTGCTCACTGCATGCGAGGCGAAGGGAGTGCGCACAGGTGGGCTGTATGCACCTTATGGGGCAGGCCTCCACTGCAAGCCAGCACGTTGTCGCGTTGGGCTGCACCATTTTGGCCCTGCCACTTCGTTGGGGAGCCCCACAGTAGTGGCCCTGAACTTGGCTCTAGTGTACCCTCATACCCCTGAGCCGTCCCCGACCGCCGGCTGCCATCACACTCAGCCTCGTGCCACTTGCATGGGCAGACTTGGCTTTCTGAGCAGTTTGAAATGACTGTCAGCCCGGGTTGACCTGGGGTGCGTCACACCGCAGCCTGGAACAGAGGGCTTGGCCTGCCACCCGTCCCTGCACTCCCTTCCCCTACTCCATCAGCCAAGCGGCATTGTCTCTGGGCTGTGCTGCCTGAGAGCTGAGTACTGAGGAGCAGGAGCAGAGGGGGCACCCAGCAAGTCCCTGGACGCTCAGTCAACAGGCCAAAGAGAGACAGACCCTGGGCGGGGGTCAGCACTGCCTTTTACTATTGATTCTGAACCTTACATTGAGGTACATATGCATATTATCTGAGTAGATTCTTGTGAAAGATTCACACAGACAAAATTCAAGACAACCCTGCTACTCCCCGTTCTTCCTACAAGCTCCGCGACCCCCCCCCCAACTCCTGGAGCTTCATCCATCTGCGCTCATCCGAGGCCGGCAGGGTCTTGCAGGACTCCTGGCATCTGGTTTGTCCTTTGCCAAAGGCTCTATCTGGCAGAGCAGCTGCCACTACTGCCAGGTAGTGACAGGCCCACCACAGGGACGACCCAGTACGGCCCCTGGTGGCGTGTCTCCCGAGGAGACGGACCTGAGGTCACTCTGCCATCGCAGCCGAGGGCGCCGACACACGAAGCCTGGTTCCTGGGTGTGACTGCACGACCTGGGTCGCACATAAGGGGCTCAAAGGGCCAGGAGCTCTCCCAATGCTGCCCTGACATTCCCAGAGGCGGCAGGAAGAGTGGGACAAACATGCAAAATAGGTGCCAGGGCCAGTGTGGGCGGGAGCAGGGAGGGCCCAGGACCCACCGGTGGACAGGCTTCTGGGGGCACCCTGACTACTCCTGCGATTACAATCTGGGAGTGGAGGAGCACTGAGAGTGCTTGGGTGCAAATATAGGGTGAGGATGTGGGGTGGAGCACAGTAGAAAGGGTTTGTCTGTCTTGCTTTGGGTTAGTGTTTGGAGCTTTTTGACATTTTCCTCCAAATCCAGCTTTTCATTGGACTTTTACTTTAGCCAGCCCTGGCCCCGACAGGCGTGAGCAGTAAGGGCGGAAGCCGGGTGAGGGAGCAGCCCCTCGGGAAGAGGTGGCCGAGACCATACTCACTTCTCTATGAGGTCCAGAGTGACTCCGGGCACCAGGCTGACACACTTCTGCATGCAAAACCTGCCGAGAGAGGAGAGCGCGTAAGTCATGGCCACAGGGAGCCTGGGGCATGCCAGTGGGCTGCGAGGAAAGGTGTGTGCAGCACCTGGGGGCGAGTGGCAGAGCAAGGCTGAGAGGGTCGCTCTTCAAACCACACTTCAGACACAGCACCTGCCCCCACTGGGGGCGGGGGGTGGGGGAGGCAGCTCCTGAAGAAGAAGGGAGACTCTCAGGCACACACAGGACTGGGCCGGGTCCATGATGCCATCTTGATTATCCAGAGAGGATAGGAGGGGAGGGGAGGGGAGGAAATGTCCCTCTGCAGACCAGCCGTCCTGAGAGCCAGTGTTCCTAGGTGTGCTCAGAGGAGGGAGCCATCTTTGTCCCCGTCAAGGGTGCTGGCTTGGCACAGGGTGATGCAGGGTCCAAGGGCCCCACAGTGTTCTCAGGGGAGGAAGGCACAACCTTTAATCCCCTTCCGCCTCACACGAGTGGACATTCTACCCTCAGCACTGCATGCCAACCACAGTGCGACTGTGCAGCACTGGCTGGGAGGGAGGGGCCAGGGGTGGCTGGGTGGTTTCTAACTGTGTGTGGTGGTGGGCTGTGCTGGTCCGCCCCGTGGCCCTGTGAGGCACTCGTATAAATCAGCTCCCTAGACAGATGAACAACTGTCTCTGGGAAGCCCACTTCAAGTCCTGTGCAAGCCAGGCCCTTTGTTACTTTGTTAATGCTTGCCTTTATCTATAATGCACTATGTGCCTCCTGGTTTCCAGAAAGACAGGGCCATCTGTAGCAGACTAATGCCCTTGCCAACAGCGAGAATAAGCTCTGGACAACACACAGAACGGCACGGGGAGCAGGCAGGAGCGGGAGTGCGTGCCCAAGGAGACAGAGGGGAGGCTGCTTGGAGGTCCAACCTCGGCTGGGCATCTCCCAAGGGCGCCCTCCATTCGCTCAGCACGTGGGGACAGCGCTCAGATGAAAGGCGGCAGGCCCACTGGGCACAAGAACCCGAGGTTGGAATTCAAGGCTGCTGGGAAATTGGGGGAGCAAGACTTGGGAAGGACGGTGCTCCCCAGGGAGATGGCCTCCGAGTCTGTGTGCATCCACACCTGCGTCCTGGGCCGACTCCCCACAGCTCGCCCACAGGCCAGAAGCCCGAGGACAGCGGCAGGAAGCGGCACCTGCTTGCCGGTGGGGGCGGGGAGGGAGGCCGGTACTCCCTGCCACACTCACTCCAGGAGCCCAGTGCGCCCACCCGAGGGGCTTGCTCGGGAACCAGGACAGAACTGAGCCCACGGCTAAAACCAAGGCTGACCTAGACTAGTCTGGGGAACCCAGAGACTGCCTAACACCTCCTTCCTGGTAGAGGTGCATGGTAGCCTACCTACCGAAAAAGTCAAGAAAAAAACGTCCAGAGAAACAGATTTGTAGCTGAGCGGATTTTGGAATCAGTAGACGAGGACTTTAAAAAAGCAGACAAGACCAGAGCAAAGGGAAATGGCTCTAAAAATCCAGAGAATCGGGTATAATCACTCTAATAATAAACACAGCAGAGAAAGAGCTTGCTGGTGTTTACTACCTGGCAGGCAGTATTCTAAGTGCCTTCTGAAGATTATTTTGTTTAATCCTTCAGCAGCCTATGAAGAATTACCATACACTTTATAGATGAAGAACATATGTAAATTAGCTACACTGTCATTAAATTTAAGAAAACCAAGCTAAAGAAAATTCTGGAAGCTTCAAGAAATAAAGAGATCACCTTTAAAGGAACAAAAATCAGAGTGACACGGGATACAAAAAAACAGTGGAGCACTATTTTTAAATGTAAGGCAAACGAGAGGGCATCTAGAACTTTACATGCAGCCCCAATGCCGTCGAAACACAGGGCCTCACACAGCTCAGGGAGTGGTCCCTGCGACAGCAGCAAGGACCACGCTAACCCACCAAACAACTGCCCCAACCAAACGCCACACACACAGCCGGGAATTCTCAGACGCTGTTCCTGCGAGCAGCAGGTCCAAGTTGGATCTGAACGGGTGGTCCACTGAGTCAAAGTATGTGTTGGGCCGTAACGTCACGTCACACGTCTCCGCTCTGTGTGCACGCTGGACCGCGTGAAGGACACGGGCGGGAGGGAAACCCTCCGGCCCCAGCGCATCAAGATCAGTGGTACAGCCTTCGACATCAAGGAAAAGCACGTCTCATGCAAGGACTGAAGAGCCACCTCCCGACAGACCAGCGGTTCCCAACCTGTGGCGCGGGACCACTTTGGGGGTCGAAGGACCCCTTCACAGGGATCGCCTAAGACCATTGGAAAACACAAATAGTCCACAATATATAATTACATATTGTTTCGTAATCAATCACTAAACTTTCGTTACATTTAATTATGTTCAATTTGTAACAATGAAAATACATCCTGCATATCAGATATTTACAGCCGATTCATCACAGTAGCAAAATGACAGCGATGAAGTAGCAATGAAAATGATTTTACGGTTGGGGTCACCGCCACATGAAGCACTGTATGAGAGGGTCTCGGCCTGAGGAAGGTGGAGAACCGCTGTGCTGGACAGGAAACAAACTGAAGTTACGAAGGGCATCGTTTCTCTTGGGTCCTCAGCCAGTACCCATGGAGCAGCCGTCGAGAAATCACGTGGCCAGCTGACATATGACACTGCACAGGAACCTCTCAGGTGGCACAGAGGAAGGGTGCCACTTTGAGGACGATGGTGTTCCCCGCCACCTCACATGCATGTGAGAGATGGACAACGGGTAAGGAAGACCGAAGAGTCGTGATGCGCTGACTTGTGCTGGTGGCGAGTACACAACAGGCTGTCAGAACAATGAACACGTTTGCTCCTCAGATTGGAGACTCCCCTCAGGTACTTCAGACGTGTCAGCAAGGACCGATCACTGGAGGACACCGATGGGTTGCCACCGTGGCAGCAACAATGGGCTCAAACAGCCACCATTGTGAGGATGGCACAGGACTGGGCAGCAGGACCTTCCGTTGTGCACTGAGGCTCCATGGGCTGGAACCGGCTTCAGGGCACCTGACAAGAACATACAGGCGACTCCCAACAATGGCAACACGAAGTGAAAAATGTCCCCAAGCATTTTATTCCGCGTAATCGCCTTTTATAAAGTTATAATCTACAAGGAGTGGCACACCCTCGTTCAACGCACAAAGATGACATGGAACGACTGCGAAGGACACCAGAGAATGTTGGGCCCAAGTGGAGGGAGGACTAGGCCTCTTGAAGCCAGGCCGCATGTTAGCTGAGGTGCCATCGCGTGGATAGACGCAGGCCCTGCCGAGTGGTAGGTTTGCAGTCCTTCTGCCATTGTTGACCCATCCCTACCGGTCATGACCCTACCAGACAGGGCAGAACGGCCCCTGGGGGTTTCCAAACTGTAACTCTTGATGGGAATAGAAAGCCTACTCTCCCTTGGGGGGTGGCTGGTAGTTTCGAACTGCTGGCCTTGTGCCTAGAACCTAACGTGTAACCGGTAGAAGCCTGTATGACAGGGCAGAGCGGCCATGAGGTTCCCGAGGCTGTCCTCGCTACAGAAGCAGGCTGCCCTCTCTCCTGCTGACTGCCCGGGGTGCCCACACTCTGCCCTGTGCCTCCAGGGCTCTCGGAAGCGCCGTGCCAACACGTAAAAGGCTCCCGCCCGAGGAGGCCTCTCTGCTCTGGCGTGATTTCTCTGGTATTGATCTGTAGGCGCTCATTAGTGATCTGCTGAGCACTCACGCGACTGCTTCCCAGTGGGTCTTATTGGCTTTGTGTATTTTTTTGCAAAGGTGAAGTTCATATCACACATAATGTACACTTGCCTGCTCCTTGGACTACTTGTGCCTCGCACCTTGTCTCCCTGCCTAGGGCGGTTCGTGCCATAAAAGTTACTTTGTGCTCACCTGCCATCCAGGCTACAGCCCCGGGGCGCCATCAGAGCAGGCAGTGACTGCTAGTGGAGAGGAGACTCTTTCTTGCTGAGGAAGCATGCTTCCGTTCCCACCACGACCACACCCGCTGCTATTGAGAGCATTCCTACTCAGCGACCACACAGGGTCTGTGAGTCTTATGGGTGTCGACAGCCTCATGCTGCTGCTCCTGCAGAGCCAATGGCGGGGCTGAACCTCCAACCCTGAGGTCAGCAGACCAGTGCTACTGTACAGTGCCACACCCCATTTTAAATGTGATCAAGTAACTGTCCTTTTATCAATTAACACGATGGATTAGCATATACACATGTATATCAAGTTTTTCTTTTTTTCTCATTAAACTTTGTTTTAATGGGTCTCAAAATCCTGTGACAAATTTTTGGTCAAGTTGTTTTCCTTTTAAAAAGTACTGATTTTAAAAACTAATAACTTAAAACTGCCACACAAAAAAGAAACATGGTCCACAAACATTCTTTTCCTTCTGAAAGTTTTACGGTGCATTGTTATCATCAACCAGTCTTTTACTATGAAACTTAAATGGCCAATTGAGAGAAACAGCACTGAGACCGTTCGTCCTCCCCTGATTAAGACTGGAGTGGCAGGTGTGATGGGTAATATTCATTTAGCCTTCTGAGCCTTCTGGGCAGACTGGGTGACCTCGCCAGCTCCAGCAGCCTTTGTGTCCACAGCCTTGATGATGCTCACAGCAACGGCCTGTCTCATGTCTCGGACAGCAAAGCGACCAGAGGAGGACAGTCAGAGAAGCTCTCCACACACGTGGGCTTCCAGGCACCATGTCAACCATGGCAGCATCACCAGACTTCAAGAATTTGGGGCCATCTTCCAACTTCTTGCCAGAACGGCGATCAATCTTCTCTTTGAGCTCAGCAAACTTGCAAGCAATGTGGGCAGTGTGGCAATCCAGCACAGGTGCATATCCAGCATTGACGTGGCCTGGATGGTTCAGGATGATCACCTGAGCGGTGAAGCCAGCTGCTTCCATTGGTGGGTCATTTTTGCTGTCACCAGCCACATTGCCACGGCGAACATCTTTGACAGAGACGTT